CAGCAGGAAAAAATTCCCATGGGACATGTCAGTCACCAAAAAGGAATCCTTCCCAGTGAGTAGGCTGTGGATGCACCAAGCTATTATCTGTGGGGAAACCCCTTCAAGACTTGAAATCCTTCAATGGGAAGGGAATGACAATCAGAATGCCTATTTCTTTTCAGATGTGGATGTAAGTAAAAGAGGGAAGGGCAGGATCGACTAGATAGAACTTTACCGCAGAATCTGATGGGCAAGTGTTTCTCAACTCCCTTACTTACTACTAGGTGAGATCATCATCACTCAGCTGTGACCCCCTGCCACGTCTTCCCCACCCAGGCCATCAAGAAATGGCAATAGTTAGCTTTGTTGCCTATCCAATTACCAATTCTAGTTTGTCTGTCTATATGTATATAACAATCTTTATTGACAAAAGTTTAAATTACTCTGAAACCAGAGTCAACTACGCACTACAGACATGAAGTAGAAACTTTTTAAATGTAGCCTTGATTGAGAGTTCATAAATAGAATGTTGTTTAGATCGGTAAACTGGTTAAAAGAAGCTGAATGAGAATACCATTCCCCTGTCCTAGAAAAGTCAACATATAAAACCTGAAGTAACATCAAATACTAGAAAAAAAAATAGAAAAAAAATTCCACATTTCTTATGGACTTTCAAGATTAAATAGATTGTCATTAGAAAGTTGTCATAGGAGTGAGAGGGGAAAGTTTAACATTGAAAAGTTGCACAGTAGAGATTCTCTGATTTGTGAGCCATTCCAGTTTTCACTCCCTCTTGAACTGACGGGCTTCATCGTCTTTGCCATCACAAGAGAAGCAAAGCAGAACTGTTACAGTGACATCATCAGCTGGATATAGGCAACACTATCTTTTGCAGTCATTTTGTATTCCAAAATGTTATTTGCTTAGTTCCTGCTCCAAGGAAGTTTATCCCCACTGGCTAGAGTTGAAACATACTGGTTATTTCTGTAGAAAAAAGTCTTCTTTATATATAATCTCTGGACTTAAGACACTAGCAAGGACAGTGAACAATAAAGGACATTTTACTGGGTTATGCACTCAGCTGCTTTATCTTTTTCTGATGCTCCCAACCAGAGCTTAAAGTGATCTTCCACACATTCTGTTCCTGAAGGTCGTGTATCTATGTAAGAGAAAACAGAAAAAGACTTATAAATTGCTCATTTTAGCATATACTAGAGTTTAATTGCTTTGTCTTGACAATTATTGGAAAGAGTTCAAAAGATTGAGCTAGACCACATGAGGCAATTACTACCTTTAAATCGTAGTCTAGACAAGGCCCTTCTTAGATCTTAGCAGTTGGGCTAGGATATGGTATTCTGTGGGGACCTCAGACCTTGGGAGATTTGCTGGCAAAAGCAACAGCAACTTAGGTGACACTCACAGTTGGAAGTACAGTTTAGTGGCCTGGGTGAGAAACTTGCTCTTAAAGCTAGAAGGTTAGTCCTTGGAGGCAGAAATTTGATTACTGCCTCTAGAGTCACATATTGAAAACAGCTCTCTGCATTGGTGGAGGACCAATCCTTTAGAATTCACTAGCATTAGTCGGAAGTCAAGAATGTCATTTTAAAAAGTTTTGAGGTTTTGACACTTGGTTTTGTTCTGATTAGGATTAAATAAATATAGACCTTTTAAAAATTCTGGCAGAGAAACAAGAGAGCAACCTACCCTAGTAGCTAATATCCCAATTGATAGGGAACCACATATGATATGGGAGATCCAAATTCTAGAAGTCACCGCTTCCAAAAACTTCTTGAACTAAAGCTACATACATGAAAAGAATGTAAACAAAAAAACCCTCAGAACCTGATATATCTACTGCATAATTACACACTATTTGCAATTAACACTAGCCTACACCTTTGGCTATTCATCTAGTTTAAGTATTCAAGTCCCTTGGCACATATGAATAAACTGTAGCAAGCTCCTACACTAGACCTTTTACAGGTCTGGTTAGCCGACTCTTTAACATTCTATTGAATAGGTGTTCCTAACAAAAACAGTACTGCATTACACACCCATAAGCGTGCCTAAGCTTGAGTTATCGAAGAAATTTGGACAAGTCAGAGGCTGTATATTTGGTGAATCCAGAGGCGGAATTTCTTGTGAAGATGGTTCCTTGAAAGGAGATGGCATTTTCTCTTTACGTGAACGAGATGCTGTCTTCCTTGGAGACTTTTGTATCATCTCTTGAGTGGTTTCTCTAGAGGACTGTGCTTTCAGTTTTAGTGCTCTCTCTTTCCATTTTGTAAGATCCTCTTTCAGATGAAGCTCATTGCTTAAAAAGGAGAAAACAATAGTGTAAACTCCTGCAAGCCTACAAGGTTTTTAAAAAGTTAAGTTAACACTTTGATAACCTTGAAATACAAGTCCTGTATCCTAAGAAGATGAGTTCCATGAACATGACAATGCAAGTTCTCTCACATGCCACATCAATGGGTCTTGATTCTGACTTAAAAAGACAATCTCTCCATACCCACTCAACTTTTTGCCGCAATAACTGCAATTACTGCCACCTTATGTGAGCAAGTTTATATTAAGAAAGGAAACGATCTCATTCCTAAGGTGTAAGGCAGAGACTGAATGATAAAAATGTTATCATTGATGGCATCTTGATTCAAAAATCACTGACGTGTGAAAGGCATATGTCCCGAACCAAAAAGAGAAGGAAGTTCATCAAAACAAATGGATTTCAAAATTTCCTCATTTTTAGGATTCTCCCCAGAAATATAAATTCTTACTGCATTTGATTACAAATCAAACAGCAAGTATAGCAATATATGCAGTTAAATCAGACTAGATTCTAGACTGAGTATCAGCTTTTTAAACTTACCTTACTAGAAGGTCATTTTGTTTCTTTAACTGCAGGTTTTCCTTCTGTAATTTAGCTTGTTCAGATTTTAAAATCAGCATCTGTGTGCTCTGCACAATCCCACTACCACCACCACAGGTCAGGGGTAGACTGGATTCCCGAGGAATATCTTTTCCTAATGTTACTGGGAAAATAAGTTATTTGAATCTATATCAGAAGCTATTATTTGCTATATCTTGGACAATACAAAAAAAATCAAGTTGACTTTCATAAAGTAAATAAGTGTTCCAGCACTAGAAAATTATATTAAAATTCCCTTTTGGGGTTAAGTGTTCACAGTAAGGTTACAAGTACAGTTACAACAGCTTTAATCTTTTTATACAGGAATTCACACAGATTGCCAGTTACCTAGTATGAAACTCAAACGGTTCTATAATTTAATAATCGTGTAACCACATCGAAACTTAGTGGTTACACAATTATTAGATAGTCCCTGTGGGGCTGGGCTGACAGCCAGTGTGCTCCTGGCCCCACTTCGGGGGAGACCCCTCGCAACCCTATGCTGCTGCCTCTAGCAGAGGTAGCAGTACGAGGTGGCACGTGGGAGCCAGTTTAAAAACTGTCTCCTGCTCATCACCCTTGTTCTTGCCCAGTGTGGGGTGGGGTGGGGGGAAACATGTGGCTCAGCAGAGCTAGCATGCTCAGACAACTGGCTTAAAAGCCAGCTCCCCACACGTATCAGCTCCCACCTGCCCCCCACCCTGCTGCTGTGGCTCCACGGGAGCCAATAAGCATGGGCAGTTGGCTTGAAAACCAGCTTCCTGCATGTACTTCCTCCACCTGCCCCGTCACTCTCCATTCTGCTGCTTCTCTATCAGAGGCAGCAGGGCAGAGGGAGGGCATTGGCTCCCGCCTTGCCCCCCCCCGGTGCCTTTGATACAGAGGCAGCAAGAGGGAGGGGGAATGAGTATAGGTGACAGAATTAACCAATAAGCCCAAGCTTATTGGGTAATCGTATAGTCGACTACACATTAACATCCCTATTCTCTACTAAACCAGACTATCTAGTGCATTTAACTGACAAATACACAATGCAATAAGATATCAGTTATGGTTAAAGTAACAACCATAATAAGGGCCCTACCAAATTCATGGTCTGTTTTGGTCCATTTCATGGTCATAGTATTTTAGAAATTGTAAATGTCATGATTTCGGCTATTCTGAAATGTCAGTGTTTCAACTGTAGGGCTCCTGAAGCTAAAAGGAACTGCAGGAGGGTTGCAAACTTAGGGCATGTCTACACTACAATGTTAGTTCGAACTAACGGACGTTAGTTATAACTAACATTCATAGGCGATACACTAGCGCTCCGCTAGTTCAAATTTAAATCGAACTAGCGGAGCGCTTAGTTCGAACTAGGAAAACCTCATTTTACGAGGATTAAGCCTAGTTCGAACTTACTAGTTCGAATTAAGGGGTGTGTAGCCCCTTAATTCGAACTAGTGGGAGGCTAGCCCTCCCCAGGTTTCCCTGGTGGCCACTCTGGCCAACACCAGGGAAACTCTATTGCCTCCCCTCCCGGCCCCGGACCCCTTAAAGGGGCACGGGCTGGCTA